GAGCTCTAAAATGACTGACAGGAGTGACGTGTGGGCTGTCTGCCACAATAATAGTCACCTAGAGTGGTCTTTTAGGCCAGATAGGCAGAGTATAAATAAAATAAATAAATAAAATAAATAATAACCAGAATTCCCAGTAAGGGAGCAATAGGGCAGAAAAATATTTTCCAACCTATTTTTTGTATCAGTCCCAGCCATCATAAGACAAGCAAACAAACTAATGGGTAGTATTTCAATTAAACATATTTCAATTTCAATTAAACATAAAAAATATAGTTTAAATGGTGCTGAAGACCGATAAAATATTTCACACTGGGGACAACAAGGGTGAGAAGCAGCCTCTCCACATACAGTAACTGGGGTTTTTCTTTTCAGTCTTGGATCATGTGAGTATTCTCCATTTATTAGGAAGACTCTCCTTTGACAGAGAATGATGGGAGCTGGAATTCAAAACATCTAGTTCCCTCTAGTTCCAGAGGGCACACGTAGACCAAACAGTAGAAACTTAAAGACAGCATATTTTGGCTGAGCATTAGGAGAACGTTTTTAATAGTAAGAACAGTTCAAAAGCACAACATTTCTACCTAGGTTTCACTGCCTTGAGAAGTGGTGAACTATTTTCATTAGAAGTATTTAAATCGAATATTTGAAGGTATTTAAGTGGAGGCCGGACAACCATCTGTCAGAGACTCCAGCATTGATCAGGCAGTGAGACCAGATGGATTTAATGGTCCTTTCCAACTCTAATGTTCATTTCACTGGACCAAACTTTAGATTGTTGCATTTTCTAATGCAAAAGTTAGTGCCCCCTTACTACATATTCATTTATACCCAGGTTTCATGCGGACCTTCAGTGTGCCACAGTGCAGCAGAGAATATATGAAAAGAAATGATTATGAAAAGCAAAGCTACCTGTTATTTAATAATAAGGTATTAGTCTGGGAAAAAAACTCTCAATTCTCTGAAAAAGAAAGAGATGTCTGCAGATAGGTATTAAGAAGGCCAAGCTTATGAGAGATTAGAAATGTTTAGCTATCTGAGAATGAAAGTCATCTGTTATCCTAAGTAAGGGTAGAGCACTAGAAATGGCTGCCCCATCAGCAGCCCAGGAACAGAACATTGTACAGCTTGGCAGCTGGCTGGAAAGATAATCAAATGGATATGAGAATGGACCTCCCTGCTTAGAAGAGATAACAGAACTGAAAAAAGGAAGAAGTCAAAAAGGTATGTGTGTGTTTTTTCCCCCTTAAGTCATTGTGGTCTTTACCGTTTATTATCATGCTAAAACTGAACTTCAGCAGGGCTGTGGACTTTTTAAATATAGTATTGATAACATCAGCACACAGATGTCTCTAGCCTCTGCTGTCTTGTCTCCTGATGGTGCAATAGTGTCAAATCAGCTACATTCCTGATGTGTGATGGACCTGATGCCTGCAGCCCTGGGGTTATTGTGGCTGTATCAAGTGACTACAACAGAAAGAATAAATGGCAGCAGAGAATCTGGAGACTGAAAAGAGTCTCCAGATTCTGAGAGAGAATGAAAAGTAGTCTGAGTGAGACCCACTTCTTGTGGTGGACAGAAACATTTCATCCGTCCAACTGCAGCCTCTGATTCAACAGGCTGAAGGTATTTTGGAAACAATTTTAAAACCCTGCAAAACCTGCTTGTGATAAATAAGGATAAGGTGTGTACCCCGTAAGCAACAATCCCTCTTTCCAATTTGCTTTTACCCTTTGCTGTCCAGCTACAAAGGATGAGAAGAAGGCATGAGAACCAGAGTTGCCAGGTCAATAGAACTGCCTTCCCTGAGGCTCAAAATGAAAACCTCAGGTCACAAGGTGAACCCTTGTGATGTCACAGCAGCAGACTCTTGTCAGGGCCGATAGGCACAAGGCACTCTTCACCTTTTCTGGCTCCAAATGGTACAGTGGGTTCTCTCTCTAGTCTTCTTACTCCCTGCTTTAGGTGTGCCAATCCTGTGCAAGGACAAGACTTATACAGAGACTGTTGTGCTGACCTAGTGAACCTTGGTGCCAGCCAGAAACAGATGGAGATGATTGCCTAAGCTTTAAAGCTACCACACATAGAGTTCTGCATGCCTGCCTAGAGATTCTGTGAAGCATAGTGAGTACACAGTAGAGGAAATGTGCTTTAATCTGCAGTTTTCCAAATTGGGTGCCTAATGGTTTCTGCAGGTGAAATCACTGTAGCTGTCCAAATGACAAACAATTATTGTGTTGCAGGAATCAGCAGAGGCAAAGAAAGCTGTCAATTTTTTAATGCAGTTCCAATAGTGAAAGCTGTCTTTGATCTGACAAGGTGCTAATTGGCAATTTCCACTGAGAGCAGCCCTTCACTTTGCTTCTTCCCCCAAACTGACATATTGTTTATCTGACTCAGCACTAACTTGGAAGGATAAAGTGCAACAAAAAAGAACACTGGGGACAACAGGTGCTTGGTTGAGGGGAACCAACAGCCCCACAAGTGCCTCCTTTACATCAGATCAGCAGACCACACAGGGTAAAAAGCAACGTTGTGTCAGCCCAATCAGAGTGAAATAAAACCACCTCTCTCAACTTCACAAAAAGAGACTAACCACTAAAAAAAAGAGACAATGCCCCAATGTATTTCCACACACTGAGTTTTACATCACTGTTATTTAATTTGATTTTATCTGCACCTAATACAACACAAACGGTGGGGGAAATAGATAGTGTAGTGATCCCCTCAGAGAAGCATAGCAACCAGTGCTCTTTATTCTATCAATCATAGGGAGAACCAATTTTTTGAGAAACAAATGCTCTTTTTCATCAGTTAGAACATCACCATTTGTCGCTCTACCTGTAACTACTGTGATAGTCAGAATATTTTGACCATTCTTTGGTATCATCGTTTTGGTATCTTGAAGAATTCTTCCTCCTGCAGAAGAACAAGTGGTCATCTGCCTCATTCAAAGGCCTCAACCGTCCTCTGGCAATCTCATAAGACTTCGCCCTGTTATAGTTCTACTTTTCCCCACAGAGGTCAATCAGTGGGCAGCATCCACCTCATCATCCTTATAAATGCATCATTTGTAGCATTTCAATTAAAGTTTTAGATCAGACCACTGTACTGAGACCAGTTTAACGAGGAAAGTAATGACCTTGTATTGCAGGTTGTTTCTGGCATGCCATCAGTTTTAATTCTTCTTGATCTTAACTGTAACCCTTTGATACCTTTGGATCAAGAGTTGTCTCAGAATGCTTCAGGCACATTAATTCGACTTCCAGGGTCTGTTGTGGGATGGTTTTATCCGTATTTGCCTCAGCAAAACCAGTCTGTCACTTACAAACTCTCCATGTACATTCAAATTACCAAAGATTAAAAGACTGCTGCCCAAATAGGGCTCGTGTTTTTTTTTAAACAGCAGAATAGTGGATACCTGGCTTACGTCCCTGCAGCAAATAAATCTATGAAAAATTCCACACCAAGATTAAGGTAACTTCTTTGATGTTTGCTACCCAGCTGGAAAGACATTATGATTAAAAGTGGCAAGCAAAAGGAAGTATAAAAGAAACACATTATCTAATATGACACTTGGAAAGGGAAATTTGTACTTCACAATCAATCTAGATGTCCCCTTTGACCAAATCGGAGCCTGAGCTGTAACACTTTTAATGCCACCACTTGTGTTCTGTGCTTCAGTTTGGAACAGTCACCCATCATGAGCCATGACTGGCATCAACCAAGATGTCCTCACTTACCTTGGGAGCCGTGTCCTAAAGTATTCAGGGTGATTCAGAGACCTGCTGGATACTACACACCACTATGAAACCTATGCATGCAGGCAAATGCTGTGCACATTTAATGCATCAGGATGAACACATCTTGTTTTTAAACTAAATAGACCTTCTTGGAGCACCACTGTGCTTAGAAACAACATTTATGTTCCTCACATTCCTGGACTCATCCTTTTTATCAGTACCACTTAGTTGGCGAACGAATTGGGAGGCATCCCTAAGTCTAATCATAAGCTCCCTGTACCCCATGCGTGAGAGAAGGGACACTTTAGCCCCGCCCCCGAGTCACCTTTTGTTGAAGAACCCAGAAAGAACAAGACCAACAATGGAGATATTCTGGAAAATTGTTATATTCAAAGTTATATTCAAAGATTTCAGGCACTTGTCAAATAACCATGTAAGCTAAAATCTGGCAGGGTGGAAACATAGTCTAAACAATCCAGTCTTTGCCAATAGGGTGCTTTTTTGTTCTAGTCAAATTAATGTAATAGGACAAAAATGTTGAAGGGAAACTATAAGAGAAACTAGACTGGCGCCATTTGATGGAGCTGACATTTCTTCTGTGGGGTGTGTGTGTGTGTCTGCAAGTGTCTGACAATGGGATTTGTGGGAACAGATAATTTCACACTGTATAAAAAGTGTATATTTAAAAAATATTTTATTTTTATTCCATTTTGTAATTTCTGGCTCTCTCTGTTGAGGCAGATCATGTTTAATTCTGCACAAACAAACTCTCATTAGGTAATTTTTATACAAGACAATACACTGGAGTCTCACTGGGGTCCAAAACTACCCCAAAGTTTTTGTTTTCTGGTTTTATTGTGAGTGCATGAGGAATTAAGAGACAATTAACACTTTCTTTGCTGCTGTGTTGCCAGTTTCCTGGATAACAAAGCAAAACCGGTAGTGCCATGGGAAAACCGGAACCAAAAACTTTAAAGGTATTTATTTATTTATTTATTTATTTATTTATTTATTTATTTATTTATTTATTTGGCTTTTATACAGTACTGCCCATCTAGATAAATCTACTCTGGGCGGTTTACAGGCCAAAAAGTAAAAGAATTAAAAACATCAGTAAAACAAACAACCAAAATCCAAGATGGAAAAACCAAAGGAAGAAATTATGTCAGGAGGGAAGGCCTGCCTGAACAGTCAGGTCTTCAGTTTATTCTTAAAAATTCCCAGCAAGGGAAGATCTCGGGGGGGAGAATGTTCCAAAGGCAAGGGGCCACCGCTGAGAAGGCCCGGTTTCTAGTTTTTTCCTTCCGGACCTCTCTCAGAGTTAAGCCTCTCAGCCGCTCAGCTGGCTAGAATGAGTCGCATGAGTAGAACTAGGTAGAAGAAGGTGCTCTGACAGGTATTAAGGTGCTAAACCATTTAGGGTTTTTTATGTAATCATTAGCACCTTGAAATCAATGCAGAATCTAATGGGTAACCAGTGTAAGGTGACCAGAGTGGGGGAAATATGATGAAATTTTTTCACCCCAGTTAGTAATCTGGCCACCATGTTCTGGACCATTTGAAGTTTCTGCATCAATTTCAAGGGAAGCCCCACATTGCACTCTCGAGACTACGAGCACATGTACAACTGTGGTGAACACCCCAACATCAAGATAGGAGTGCAGCTGGGCAATCCGCCGAAGATGTAAATAGGCGGTGCAGACCACAGATGTTACCTGGGATTCAATGGCAAGCGTCGGGTCAAGATGGACTCCGAAGCTGCAGACCACACTTTGTGGTGAGAGTCGTTCCCCCAAAGGAAAGGGAGCTTCCCAAACCACTGATGATGGGGGCACCCACCCTCAGGACCTCCGTCTTGTCTGGGTTCAGCCTCAGTCCATTCTCCTGCATCCATTGCAGAACAGCCCACTGCTGATGGAAAAAAGGAGATGTAGAGCTGAGTGTAGCCAGCATATTGATAACACGAGGCATGAGGTACCCCCTTGTTCAGATCAATAGGGGCTTACCTCCTTGTTGGAAGTTTGTAGAGAAAGAACTGGGTCCTTGACCTAGGAATCTTACAATTAAAAATTAAATATGTAGAAGAAGAGAATGTCAATAATCAAAACCTTCGTCGTTTAGTCGTTTAGTCGTGTCCGACTCTTCGTGACCCCATGGACCAGAACACGCCAGGCCCTCCTATCTTCCACTGCCTCCCGGAGTTGGGTCAGATTCACGTTGGTAGCTTCGGTGACACTGTCCAACCACCTTACTAAATCAAAACCTTAATAAATCAATAAAATGAACAGATCATGCAGTGGCACTGGAGAGCATGGTATCTCAAAAAAGAAGGGCACGAAAAGCTCATATTCCACATCACTTTTGGATAACAAAATGGGGAACACAGAGAAGCATAGGAACTTGACTCATGCCAAATCATATTGTTGGTCTATCCAGCTCAGTACTACATACTACTCACTGGCGGTGGCTCTCCACAGTCTCAACTGACACATGTCTTTGCTGGAGACACTGGAGTTTGAGACAGATGTTCTGCATGTAAGCACCTCTCTGCTACTCAGCGGTAGACCTTATCCCAATAATAATATCAAATGGAACGTTGAAATTAAACATTTTCACATCTGTGCCCTTCACTGAAATGCCAGCGCCACCTGGAAAGGAAGATCAGCATTTCAGGTCTATTTAAAGCAGGTGATCCTTGTGCCTGCCCACATTTCGCCAGCTGCCTCTTTCAGCAACAAGCAACAAAAGGCAGCACCTTTAAACCTAACAACAAATATATTTCAGTGGGAGCTTTTGTGAATACAGTTCAGACATACCTGGAAAGTTGACTCTGTCCATGAAAGTTTCCACTGGAATAAACTTGCTAATCTTTCAGACACCCAGTACGTCGGTTCAACCTTTGTTCTTGCTTAACAAAAGAAAGATAACTCAAATGCTACCACTCATTCTAATCCTTGGCTTGGGTGCCATTGTTAGAAAGGAAGCTGATTCCCATACCAGCAGCAATGCATTTGAAAAGGGAAAGCCTTATTTGGCATTTAGCAAATTAGCTTGCTTTTGGCAAATTTGAATTTGGCTAATTAGCATGCTTCTGTTTTGCATTTTGGTCAGTTGGGAGAGAGCATAGTATTTGTTTGCATGTCTTGATGTCTCTGACATGTGGCTGTGAAATACAGTACAGTATTTGGATGGCCTGGAAAGATAAAACTATTAGTGGAGGAAATATACTTATGCTTTGAAGTGTGATCTGACCCTTAGATTCCAATCACCCTGTGATGCAGTGGTAAAACTGCAGTACTGCAATCAAGCCTCTGCTCACAATCTGAGTTTGATCCTGATGGGTTCTGGTAGCCAGCTCAGGGTTGACTTGGTCTTCCATCCTTCCAAGGTCAGTAAAATGAGTACTCAGTTTGCTGGGGTAGAAAGCAAAGTGTTGATGGCATAATTATGCTGTAAACCACCTAGAGAATGCTTTAGGACTATGGGCAGCATGTAAATCAAAATAACAAGCATTGGGGTAAATGAATTTGCCACATCTTCACTGATGTTTAAATATTGAATGGATGAAAGCAAAGATTATACTTCCAGTTCTTGGAGAACACGTGAACTGGAGTGGAATGAGTGAAGTTACCATCATTCAACTAAAGGCTCATGGCTCCACGTTTAGGCACCCATTTAACTATCAGTGAACATTTGCTCTATCATATGGTCCATTCAGCAATTTATCATTCTCAGCACTATAAAGGGGCATTTCAACAATGTATTAATTGCCATTCTGGGAGAATTTTACCCTGGGAATGTGAAATATGGATACTATAAACAAACAAAATATACTGCTACTATTTATTCAGGAAAGAGCCATGGACAGCTATTTTCATGGCCTACCTACAATCCTAATGAACTGCTATATATGTGGAAGATGGTCCAAAGATCAATCTGATAAAAAATACTGAGCTAAGATGAAGAAAGCAAACCTTGGAAATGTTTGTACAATAGACCCTTGCAATATTTTTCATCGCCCACTAAAATCCGCCATTTCGTTTGCCATTTTCAGGCAGAGTTATAAGACTGTATCCTTCTTCTTCTTCTTGAAAGACATAATTCAACAATTTTCTCCATAAATACAGAGAAATGAATCAAGAACGAAGTTTCACAGTGGTCCGTCTTCCAATATCATTTCAAGTGCTCTTCAAAGATAAGGAATGGAAGATGGAAGCAAAAAAGTTACAATAGACTGAAAATGTGAATGTACCAGCCTTGCATGTGAACGCGGAAAAAGATTTGTAGCCTTTAACAACTTGAATAAGGCATTCAAAAAGAAAGGCATACAGGTAGATCAAGAAACATTTTCTCTTTTTCCCCCGGCTTTTGACCCTATAAATCTGACAGCTAAATCCATTCCAGACAAACTTTGTGTTCATGTTAATGATATTTGTTAATAGGTTTTTTTCCTTCCCAGTTCTTGCAATTATACAAATGAATGACGTACAGATTTCCTATGTAGGCAATGGGTCAAAGCTTTAAGGTTTCTAATTCCTATTTCTGAACGAGTGACCAGCAATGATTTTTTTTCTTTGTCTTAGCAACACTGGCACAACTCAAAACCTACTATTAAGTTAACCACACCAAGCACCAACAGACTTCTAAAATGTCTACTCAGAAGTAAATACCCCCAAATTTGGAGGTCTTACTCCCAGATCGGTTAGTAAGTTAGGTTAACAGTGCCTGCGATCCTACCTGTTTCTACTCAGGAGTAAGTCCCAGGAGGATGAGTAAGATTCCCCACCCCCACCCCCAGAAAATGTTATTCACAAGGTGGGCGTGACTGAGGCACATCAGCTCGCATTCTCTCCCAAAGCTGTTTGAAAGAAATGTAGACAATGTAACACATCATCCATGGGAGCATCTTTAAAGGCCTTTGGTCTTACCCTCAATTCACGCACAGAAATTCAGGAAGAAGAAAAGAATGAGGATTTAAAACTCTGTTAAGTTTTGCACCTGTGTAAAGCGGGAGTTCAGAAAAGAAACTTCCCAATGTTCTTAATGTCTTCACTTCCAATTGGCCTATTTATCCCCTCCATTAAGCCATCTTTAAGCCAGTGTAATGCCATTGATTTAGAACCTCATTACAGAGTGGATAATGAGGCCCAGTCCTGAATCATTGTGCTTTTCTATTTCAACCCATTTAGCAGGGTCCCTCCCTAAAATTAGATTCTTTCTAAAACTAATCAGTACTTTAAATTGCATTCTCTAAAAGTGTGTATGTATGTGTATAAGGTGTGACGTCCCCCTCAAGTGCAGAATATCTTTAATGAATGACAACTTTAATATTTCCTCTGTCTTTCCCTCCCGTTTTTTATTTTTTATTTTTTTGCTAATGAAGCAAAGTACAAATGCAAAAGGATTACTATTCCTGTAACGTCCAGTTCAAATGCACAAAGGATAATTCATGAAACCTGGCCTTAATGGTGTGTTTTTTTAAAGTGTAAATAATTAATGCTGGATTTAAAAACATGTAAAAATGTTTTATTTCTCGATCAGCTAATTTGATGGCTGAAACAAAGATGCCTTTCTTCCTTCCTTCCATTTGCCTTGAGTTAAATTACTGTAGTCAACGCTCCCCCCCCCTCCAGTTTTGGCCTTCATTCATGTATTCACTACTGCCAATTAGCTGCCAAAGTCACCAGTTTACAGAATGTGGCTCTTCTCTTTCTGCTCGTCCTTGTCTTCTGCCCGTGTGTGTGTGTGTGTGTCTGCATGCATGCACGCGCATGCACACACACACACACACACACCCCTCTGGAAAAAAATTGTAATTGGATGTCTGAACATCAGAAAACTGGCATTCAGACATGGGTTGTTAGACTTCTTCCTTTTCCCCCCCTTTTGCACATTGACATGGTTCTGCTTTGAAAAACCTCAGGCTTGGAAATTTGAGACATGGTTGTCTCTGCTGCAGTGTTTTCTCCACATCCTGTTGAGCATTAAGTAGTTATTTAAAAACAGAGCTGCTATACTCAGTGACTTAAAGTGCTCGATATAGTTTACAAGACGATTAATTAAATGAGAACACTGCATGGGATGCACATGTATTTCCATAATCATTCACATTGGCCTATACTTGCCCTTTAATTTTCATACTAATTAAAGTAACACATATTGAGTTGCAAATTGTTGATGGCTGCATTTCTCAGTAGATGTTAACACTGATGTAAGCTGAATAGTGAATTTTTTAAAAGAATAATTAAGCACAGTTGAATTCTTTCCTTTTCTTCTTTAGTCTGGTTTTTAAAATCACCCTCCAAGAGGCCTGCAAAATGTGTGACCCACTATGCAAAATTCAGCAAACCATCCACATACCGAGGCCAACTGAGTGCTCACTGATCTTATTTTTCAGAGCCTCTGGTAGGCCAGAAAAACAGGATGTTTAGAAAACCATTCTGAGCATGAGGAACTTACTCTGCAATTAGAATGAGGCCGCCTTCGCAGAATGCAATGTACAGCAATGGTGGCCCACCCAGCCATTCCATTTTGCTAGGCTGAGCGGGCTCTCTAAACTATAAAGGAATACCACATTCACAATTCTTAGGAGGAAAAGCCATAACTTTATTGGTTGCAGCAGCAGTCCCTGGCCAGCATTGGGGGGGTTGGATCCAGTGCATAGAGAAACCAAATTGCCACCCGATGTCCACCACCATTTACATCAGCAGCCGCTGAAGGTTCCACCAGAAGCCATCTTCTGGAAAACCACATGGGTGTATGCCACTCCAGCTTTCTCTTACAGCTAGAGCAGGGGTTGGGCCTGCAGGCCCCTGAGCTAGACTAGATCCTGCCCCATATGGGAAGGTTTGTTAACTGTGCTGGGCAAGTAGACTCCTGTCTTCACCCTTAAGCCATCTGGACCCAACCCCAATGTCCCAAGCCACCAACAAGCTGTGACAAGATTGACTGTACGCACATAATGCAGTGAAACCCCCCAAATGATCCTCCATGCAACCTATGCAATAACCAATAACAACACATCCTGACATTGCTGTAAAAGAGGGAGGGACAAGGGAAAAGAAAAAAGGGGGTGGGTGCTGGTGAGCAGCAGACAGGACTGTGCGTAGATCTGCCCACCAGTTTTTAGGCTGGCCAGGCAGACTAGGGTGAAAATCCTCTTTTTCCGGTCCACCTGCAGTGTTTGAACCACCACCACTATCAGCCAATACCAGGCCAGTAGGAAAACCTCACTGCCCACTGGACAATCAGGGCTGCTATGGCAGACTCTGGTAGTCATCCCTTCTCAATCCACTAGACCACGTGGGCTGCCGCCATTCCTGTCCTGGCGCCATGGCCTAGGTGAGACTTTCTTGGCAGCAACTGGGGTGCCCAGGTAAGTCTGGGCTCCTGTTTTCTTGGGAAATGGACCCGTGTGAGGGCAAAAGTTGACAAGATGCTGATCCCATATGCAGAAGCCATGATTCCCCAAGTGATGAAAGACATCTGATTCTACAAGCAAATCAAAGGCAGAAGCATGGTTGCTTGTTGAAATGGAAAGTGGCTCTATTTGCAAGTCTGATTGTTAAGATACGCATTGCACGGGAGACTGCAAGGCAACATGAAAAATATGAAAGAGCAGGAAATGCATATCTCCCCGAATGTCTGTTTTTTATGTGTACGGTATGTCACACAGCCTGCCTTGAGCCTCCTGGGTTAGCCTATGGCACTGTGTTATCACCCCAGGGCCAACTCTTCTTTGACCTAGGGGGAGGCTTGTGCCTCAGATGGCAAGTTGGAAGAGCAGTGGACCACTCCTTCATCCACCAGAGGGAAAGCCAGCCACTGCCACCAGCCGCATTTCCCCACCAAGCTGTGCCTGCTGCTGTCTGCCTCTTGTACAATATTGCTGTACCCAGCAGGACCCACCCCTCCACTCAGAGGAAGAACTTCTCTGAGCAAGATACTGGGCTACTGCTTTCAAGACCAGTATTGCTGTTTACATGCTGTGGTAAAGGCCACCTCAGTAAAGCCGTCCATCCACTCTCCAGAGCATCTGCTAGACTTGAAGCCTCAGCAGCAACCACAGCATCCATGGTCACCTCAGAGACAATGCTTCAGTTCAAAGAAGGACCCTTCACAGTGAAGTACCAGTGCAGGGGAGGTGATGACGTGTCCTCCCATCACAGGTAGCAGGATGCTTTGCACTGACATTGCCCTGTCCTTCCACGGTTTGCCTACTTGGGCTCAATACAGGGAGGAGAGCAACACCATCTTCTCCATCTCCTCATATGTCAACATTTACTGGACTGGTTCCACAGGGAAGGCACCAGACGTCACTG